TATATTAATATACTGTTGGGACAAGAATATTGATTATTAATTTCCAAATACGTTTAAACGAAATTATAGAAAGAAAGAAAAAAAGAGAGGAGAGTGTGTGTGTGTGTGTGTGTGTGTGTGTTAAATCTCGTTAAAAAAAAATAACTCAAATTACAATTAGACAAATTTAATTGACTATTCTTGCGTCAATGTTTTTTTTTCTTCGATGGATATTTTTCACAGTATGAAAAATAGCAATGGGAAAAGAGAGAAAGAAAGAAAAAAAAACAAACAAACAAACACGCGTATTGCGTTTATGCATGCACTATGAAAACGTTGAACGAGACGAGATAACCTCGACGTTTCTTTCGATCGAGCTAAAAACCAGGTCGACCTGGAGACTTCATCAAATCCCAACTGGATCGTCGGTTGCCAGTACTTTTCAAAGAAACCACCCCCCGCCCCCTGCCATCTCTCCCTACCCCGTCCCGTAGTACGCAACGATTCTGTGAGGCTTCCTTTAATTTTACTATTTTCTTTTTTTTTTTTATATACACTGAGTTATCTCTCTCTCTCTCTTTCTATCTTTCTGAAGTGAAAACATTTAAATTATTTGATTAAATCAATGAACATTTTTGGCTTAATTAAAATAAACGAAATAGAAAACGAATTGTTTACGAATGTTTCTTATTCGAGGATAAAAGTTACACGGTCTTCGAGAGTTTATTCCTCTTTCCGATTGTATTTAATAGAATTCAATCAATTCTAAGCGAATTGTTAAGTGTTTAAAAGTTTTCCACTTTGGTTTTGAAAGTTACGCTAGTACGTACGATTAACTTCTTAACGAGTACTATTTAAATACATCGAATTTGTATATATAGACCTTTTTAGTCATCTCTCTCTCTCTCTCTCTCACTATCTCGTAGCATAAATTAAAGTATATTTTGAAAAAAAGTAATTATATAGTATTTTATCTTTTAACTCGATATTAGAATGAAAATGAACGTTAAATTTAACGATTAAAATGTACATGTATATCTCGAATGCGATCGATCATTAATAATATTTTTATAATATTTAACTATTAAATATATATATATATAATTTTGTTTAATTGCAAATATATTTTGGTTATATTTGTAATTAAAAGTCTAGGGCTTTTTTGACAGGTTGTAGAACTAGTTTCCATAAGATAATTATAATCAAGCAAAACGTGGGTATGGTTAGTAAAATGAATGGAGTTATTCGTTCGGCAAAATCAAAACCGTGTGCTTTATGACTACGGAAAGTTGGCAAATAAACGTGATCTCTTTGGTGACATTGGATAGATGCGAGAGAGTATTTGTAAATAATTGACTAGAATTTGTTAAAAAAAGAAAGAGTAAACAGACAATATTTATAATTAAATTTCATCAGTTATCACATAGAATGTATTTAAATTATTTTTTATTACCTCGTATATCGGTAAACAATAATTCAATTATAACGTTCGTTATATCAATTATTATTAAATTTCCAAATTATTTTGTTCCGTATGGTAAATAATAAATTTATTTTTGTAATTGTTGTTATTATTATATAAAATGTATCAAAGTAATAACGTCGAATGGAAACTTTTAATTGATAAAAGAAAAATCTTGTCGTTCGAATCTCTCTCTCTCTCTCTCTCTCTCTCTCTCTCTCTTTCTGTCATTTTGATTTAAACACGAGTAAAAATATACACCGTTGTAAAATTTTCTAAGTTATTAATCTTGACGTTAAAGGAAAAGCTAAGTTGTTGCTTACTCACTTTTACCGATCGAAACTTTCAAATGGTTTTTATCGTCTCAAGCGGCCTTTATATAAACGAGTCTTTCCTTCTTCCTAAACTTCACTCTTTACGGATTACGATCTTTTCAAAGTACCATTTACTTTCAAAAATATCGATTACTTTCCGTCATATAAATGATATCTTCAACGATTCTCGATAATTCCTCTGAATCGAGAAGTTTGATTGTACGTAACATTTAAAGAGAGATAATATTCTTAATTATAAAAATAAAAAAAATTATAACTTATAGAAAAAAGAAACACACTGAAACAAATAACGCGTTAATCGAGCAAGACTAGTTAGTTAACAAAATTATTGCACATTATTTATTATCAACTAATAACAAACTTTTTTCTAAACATTTGTATTAATAATATACTATGTGCTTCAATAATTATATCTTTTACGATGAAAACAAATATGACAAGTATAATAATAAATACGTGACGTTTATTATGTATCGAAAAAACTTTCCAACTTGTATATTATTTAGATAATTCGTATGTTAGAACAGAAGATAATATAACTAAGGAAATTGTATCTTTTTCTTTTTTGTGTTACAGTCGTGGACCGATTACAATCTCCAATGGAATCAAACGGAATATGGTGGAGTAAAAGACGTCCATATAACACCGAACAAGCTTTGGAAACCTGATATCCTCATGTACAATAGGTAATCTGGTCATTTTACGCTTACGCCAAATTGCTTTAGCTCGTAATATCGGATTTCGCAAAATTCCTTCGACATTAAGTCGTCAATATGTTTTCCATTGATCGCGTCTTAAACTATTATCGCGTAAACGTAATATTCATTAAAAACAAAACAAAGGAAACCCTAATCGTTCGTATTTTAATCAACGTATCCAAAAAAGAAAATAGAAACAAACCGAGTGTATAAATTTGTTACGTTAAACAAAACAAAAAAACTAACTATACAAGTGGATCGTCCCAAAATTATATACGTTTAAATAAAAAATAATAATAAAAATAACAATAAAGAAAAAACCGAATAAACAGAATAAATAGAATCGCGTAAATTGAAAAGTCGTGTCAATTATAATAATTCGAATAGTGATCGCATCGGTATAACGTAAATGTCGTGGTTACAACGTAATTAAGTTCAATTTAAAATTAGACAAAATACGTGGACGTTTAATTAATATATCTAATTGAATTTATCGATGTAGTATGTACTTATATATATGTAATTCGTGCTAGAGAAGAGACAGGAGTACATAGTTCGATTGAAAATCGATCGAAAATGAAGAGGAGTGCGGAATTAACGGAAATTGAATATTCGTTTTTTCTTTTTCTTCGTTTCGGATTAATCGACATTAACGCAGCATAGTAATCTGTCGTGCGACGGAACGTATTCTTTCTTTCGATGTAGAAAAATTTAATATAACTCGTGCAATATTTCTTTTTCATATAAACGTAAGTAAGTCGTACATATTCGATTATTTAAAAAAAAAAAAATTTTTTCCCTCCCGCGCTAAGAAGATAATAAAAAATTTGTTTAATACGCGTCGCGTTCCGTTTAAAATAAAAAAAAAGAAAAAAAGAAAAAAAAAAGAAAATATACTTTCTCCTCTTGATATAAAAAAATTAACGAGAAAGATATTAAAAGACTAAGATTTTGAGAATGTTTCAGAGAAACATCACGAAGAGACTAGGATTATCGTGCTGCTTGCAAACTTTCTAGCGCTTTTATGCGAGCTCGAAATTAAAAGTTTTGGGTTTTTTTTTTTATTTTATTCCTTTACTTTTATTCCCTCCCATCCCAAAAAAAAAGAGATTTTTCTTTTTTCTTTCCCTATTTTTTCTTTTTTGTTAATTTACTTCATAGCCTTTAATTGAACGTAGATCGAATTTTTCAATGTTCGTTTTCATTAATGGCATATGTTTGGTTTTTTTTTCTTCAATTTCTTTTATTTTTGTATCCCATTTTTGTGTAATGAGAATTATTTTGTAAAAAAAAAAAAAAAAAAAAAAAAAGTGACATTAAGGGTACGTAAAATTTATCCCAGTGTTGCTTTGCATTTTATTATGAAGTA